CAGCCTGCATCTGAGGAGAGAGGGGTTGGTGTGGTGGTGGTGGGAGGGAGGAAGAGGGGAGGAGGGGGGGATTAAACGAAGAGAGAGGTAAAAGGGAGGGAAGAGAAGAGGAAGGGAATGGGGAGTCTGAGTGAGAACGAGAGAGAGAGAGAGAGAGAGAGAGAAGGGGAGGGAGAAAGAGGGAGAGTACGAGGGAGAGGGGAGCTCAGCTGAAAGCCACAGACTTAATTCTATGCATCATTAAGCAGTCTCACTCAATGCAACATCCCCTATACATCATCCACGCTCAGTAAACACAACGGTGACATTACATTAGCAACTGCAAATGAATTTTCTTTTTGGAAGGAAATTGAGAATACTCTCTTTTCTCCCTCTCTTTTACCCTCGCAAAGCTTCAGCGCAGGCCATAAAAGGCAGGGAGATATAAACACAATAAAAACAAACAGTATTTCCCTTTTCTCTACTGCCTCTCGGATGGCACACACACACACACACACACAAACACACACAGCTTGTCTGAAACAACAACGCAGAGATTCGTGCACAAATACACACCACTGTTCTGCTGTAATTTATTTAAGCTACGAATAAGAAGGTTTTACTTATTCTGCCGCCGGCAATACAGATTATTTTTATTTAATGATAAGTTAACACTGAAGCCGTTTCTGCTGCAAATTGCGAAATCCGTCAATTTGTTTTTCAGTTTGTTAAAACCACATCTAGTCGGAGAGGTGTTTGCCCGAGCTGTTCATTCGCCTAGTTATGATTCTAGTGTTAACTGAGAGGATATTTACATTTACACACCTAGAGATGAGTTGTTATTGTCAGACACTAAATGAAGTCAAACCTACACTGACTGAACGTTAGCGGACGTTTGCTTCGTAGGATGTTTCCTCACTCTGAACTAACCGCTAACTAGTCCCTTTAGTGGTTTGAAGGACCATCATGATCCTGAACATTGCTCAGGTTGACGTTAGCGTTTTCAGATATTTCACTATCATTCAAGAATAACTACATGATTACAACCAGCCAAGCTTTGGAGGACTTCTCTTGAATGTCAACTTACAAATAACTTAAATTAGAAAATGTTTTTCCAGTATTAGACGTTGGTTAGGTTAGCATTACCTAAAGCAGATATTTCTCTTTCACTCTAAATTACACATAAATACTGCAGACTATATATATATATATATATATATATATATATAGTGTGCTTAGTCAAATATGTTGTTTAACCACTACAACTATTATTCTTGGCAGTTACCAGTAAGTCTTTAGTACTGCTAATATTTTTATATTAGTTAACTTCACTAATCAGATTAAAAGGTAAGATGTAAGAATCTAACAATGCACAAACCAATGAATAAATTCATCCATATGGTGACCAATCCTGAGCCCACACAACATGAGCACACACACACACACATATTTTAGCTTTAATGCGTAAGCACGTAAATTATCAAACAAGTCAAATGAATAATTATGTTTTTATTGCACAAATTATGCCCTGTCCTCTAAACTAGCCAGTCTCTGAAGCCTGGGAAATCTATTAAGGCCGTGCAATAGATCATCCCATCCACCGTGGCGTGTGTATAGATCGGTTGGCTCATTTGAGGAATATTGAATCGGTTACAGTAAAGTAAGCCCCTGGATTGAGTCAAATTTAAAAATCCATGCATGTGTGAGAAGCTGTCAGCGTGTGCTGTAGTGACGGATGGCGCTGGGTCTCTGTTTCGGCGAGAGGTGATAAAAAGTGTTATTATGAGTGCCAGGGAGGGACACGGGGAGTCGGGGGAGAAACAGAGAAAAGAGAATTGGAACAGATCCGTCAAATGATAAGAGCAATCAGTCAATCCGTGAACGCTTCGGACAGTGGAAAGTGTTATTTCCTCCCGGTGCAGTTGGAGTCAAGGGTCGGTGAGGGGTCAAGAGTATGACCTCTGACCTTGTGCCATAGTGAAGAGTGAGACACCAGACAGTCAGTTATTGATTCATTGCCCTTAAGATTAACCGGTGTTATAATCTATTGGACATGATTGGTTTCCAATTGCAGTGATTAGTAGTGAAAGTACTGACAAGGACTTGGATTAGCGAGTGAAAATCATCATTTCCGTAAACAATAATGGAAATCTTCATTACGCAATCTCTTAGCATAATGAGCATTACGCTGAAAAGATGTGAAGTCCAGGAGAGCAATCTGAAACCGGCCCTTTCCCAGATCACAGCCCGGCGCTCTACCTGCTAAATGAGCGGAATGTAAAGTCAGTCCAAAGTGTTGTGGTAGCATGCCACCGTGTTATCGCTTCAGAGGTCAGCTCTCCCTTTTCTGCTCCCGGTCTCATCAAACAAAGCCTCGGACCCCCCACCGGGGCCAACCCCCCTCGCGCTCCGAGATTGACCCGCTCCCAGGTGTGAACTTCCGTCCCCCAGCTGATAGGGCCTCGCCATCATTTTTATAGTCCCCATCTCTCGCTGTTTATGACTCTGCGGTTGGATTACAGTATAGGGGGCCGCTTGGAGAGGTAAGAGCCCACGAGAGGCACGCACACATCAAAGGAGCCATGAGAGGAATGTGGACATTTGTTGTTTGTTTTATCATCCAGTAACAGCACTTATCTGCTTAATCATAAAGGATTGGCCTGGGAACGAGGAAGGAGGGACGCTGTGCTGGCCGAACAAACTATCCCCAGCGCTGTAATTGTTACTGGGGGGGAGGAGCCGGATTCATTTTGGTTGTCGCATGCAGCAGACAAGGTACAAGGGAGTTTAATTTGAGGGGAGAGATGAACAAGTCCAGGCAGAGGAAAAACTGTTGTTGTTGTTGTTGTTACAATACAGATGCATCCGAGTTATTCTGCTGAAAACCAACATATTCTCATAATAGAAATCCAAGAACATGATAGTATAGTATTTGATATAGTATATTAGAAAGTATTTCTAGAAACGTTTGTTTGATATGAATGTATTTGCACTGTGAGCCGCTGCGTCGACCTCTAACGGGAACATCCGAAAGAGGAGGAAGAAGAAGAAATTGAAATCTTGGAAAATAGATATGCACACATACAAGCGTCACCCTGTTAAGTTTGCAAAGAACGGACACACTCAAAGCAATGCTATGGCTAAATGTAATCCATTAAATTCAATGTTTAGATGATGTATTCCTCCCCGGTAGTACAGAGGTATTAGTGCATTGTAGACGTCTGCCCTGTAATATTTTACAGGGCATTACCATTGGAACAACTGGTCAGCGTGGTCAACCACACAAGAGGCCACGTAAAGTGCATGGACGTGCTAACCTTTGGTTCAGCTAGTCTCATGGCAATAGCTGCGTACAACTTAAATGCACCTATGCTTTTATCTTTCCGAAAACTCTGAACACCGATGCATCCAACCTCGCTGCTGTAGAACCGACGTGACCGAGCTGTAGTTACACACTGTTACACAACACAACACTTTAATTAAGTCACAAAATCTCCACTACCCTCCCCGCCCGCCCTCAACGTTCTCTCTCTTTGGCCCTGAGACTCAATCAGACTCTCTGCCCTTCGTTTCCCCTGTGTGGGAGGCCGGTGTGCGGGCCTGAGTAGCTGGGAAAGTCCCATGATTTATGGCCCTCTGCAGGCCTGACTGCCCCTCACCTCGCTGATGATAGAGCCAGAGGTAACGAGGACTGGTTGCTCCAATCCATTCTTTGCTGAATCCAATTTGATTCGTTTGGGTTTTAACAGGCACTTCACCCGGTTTGCCATGTGATGAACACACTATTGGTGGATACAATTGGAAAGATTTATCAGAGTACTTCTATGTGTAATTGGGTATATTTCTTACAGGCTGAGCGATAATCACACGGATTAGATGTTAATGATTAAGCACTCCAAAGGAACAGACGGGGCATTTTATCCTCGGTCTCACATGGTAGGGTTTCATTTCCTTATTCATTACTTTTTTCTCTCTCTTTTTGGTGGATGCTCCATAGCGCCTTGAAAAAGTGTTGGGACGCATCTGAACGAGCAAATTGAAAGTAGCTTCAACTGAACAACCGGTACAAAAATCTGCCGTGGCTTAATATTAACCTCGTGACTCTTGAGCCTGGTCAGGTGTTCGGCAGCGCACACCTGCAACAAACTACCACATGAAAACGACACACACTGAATCATCATGAAGCCATTACACACTTGTTTCAGTCTCCTACGGAGGATCAGGCAACTCTGACATATTAAAATCAACCAACCTTACATATGTGGAGCCACGCACGCGATCACACTCGCCAGCGGCAGCAGCAGGGCAGTAACTCAAGGCCGAAGGAGGAGGCTTATTCTTTACCATGGGTAAAGGCGCCAAATCATGTTGGTATGAAGGGGGCTATATAAATGCAAATTGTATTGGAGAGCTATTAGTCCTGGGAAAGGTTTGTATGTAAATGGCCTACAGGACAACGGCGGCGCACTCGGCCAGTTCAGATTAGTGGTGTTTGTGGCAAAAGTGCTGCAAAAGACAAAACTGAAGGGATAGACGGAATATGCAATTGCCTGGTGGTAAATCACGGCGAACAAGGTGAGCGGCTGAGTAATTGAATGACCGAGGCGTTTCCGTGGGCTTCGTTGTGCGTGCGGGAGAGCTGCGCTGAGGTCTGTTACCTGTGTGCATTTGTAAGTGACCGTGCTTTACGGTCATTTCGTTCATGCCACAGATTTTCTCTATAAGCAGAACGGAGGGAGGCCACAAGCGTGTCGAAGCATTGCTAAATAAATGACACTGCCGATGTTTATTACCTTGTACCTTAGGACGAGACTTTGCAATTGTCAATAGAGCATAATGTGTTGACTGGAGAAGCTGATGGGGAAATTAGAGAATGAACAAATCAAATATGACTGTGGATGCCGCACATTTCGTGGCAAGTAGTAGATTAAATAATGAGGCGTTTGGTTTGACAGACAACACAAGCGCAAGGCCGCCCTCTAGCTTTAAGTACGGAGACTCACGGATCCTCCACACCAGCATGCAAAATACAGAACTTTATTAACGCCCACATACCAAATACCACGTTACAAAAATAACGGTTGGCAGAACAAGCAGTTTGATTACTATGTACATATTTACAGTATATACATAATAAAATATGCATCGACAGGGTTAAAAGGTTACATTACTGTCTTTAAAACTGCTACATAGAATTCACACTGCCGATTGAAGACGGACTGACAAAAGTGGTTCGTACAAAATTTTGTATGGACATAAAATTCAAGTGCAACTTCGGTGGTTCAAGGATCTTTTGTTTTCATTTCTTTATATTTTTGCAAACCCAGGTCATCCCGTCCTGGAAAGAAAACAACAATATGTTTGTGCTGTTAGAATTAGTGAGATTCAATGTGAGCCGCAGCTGGAAATTATGTTGACAAGTAATGCTGAATCATTTTTGGGGCGCTATAATAACAAATCAGGATTTGAGACTAAAAAATTTGATAACTGGCTGGAATTTTCTGTGGCTGCCGATACCATTCTCATTGGAGACATGTCTCTATGTGGCGGAGACACAACAGCAAAGCCTCTTTGGTTGTTCGAAACATGCTTAACTTTGGAGCTTTAATCCGTGCAATCTTATAAATAGGTGTAGTTTGAGCAGGAAGGGTCTGTTCACAGTTCAACAACCAAAGCTCAAAACAGCAGAAAATAACTGTGAATAACTGTCTTCACATGACACGCACAGAAGCAACACATTTCTTTTTCCGGTCGAGCAGTCGTCCTATTGCACAAAGTCAGATATATATTGGCTTGCTTAACATTTACCGCTGCCTCTAAATTGACTCACACTGACCAATCTGAAATACACAATCACATGTTTGCTTGGTGCTGGGAGTCATTCAAGTGATCGCCTAAGCCACCCTGCAGCTCGAGCTGTCCCAACCCTCTCCTCTCGTGTGTGCAGACTGTGTGTACTGTATTTACCTGCAATCCCTGAGCAGTGACTGCAGAGCAGGCCTGGAGTTGCCACATTCGATCCCGGATAGTGTGCAGATGGAGACACTCTACCAGCTCAGACGTTGGGGTGGCTGTCGCCAGGTCCTGCTTGTTGGCGAAGATTAGCAGTGGCACAGCAGCGAGCTTTTCCTCCTCCAGCAACTCAAACAGCTCCTGGGGGAGCAGATACACAATGGTTGTCAGTGACACGAGTGACAATTGTGTATTGGAGTGAAAACACAGAATTATAGCGACTTTTCGGCTTTAGTTGCAGCCAACGCCAGCATAAAGTATGGTTCAATTTGACTCCACTCCTACAATGACAATCTAAGTATTATTTACTAATAACACTAAGAAATATCTCATCCTATCTTATTATGTCACAGAAACGGTAAAGTGCATCTCACCAGGCTTGTCTCTTCCAACGTTTTCCTGTCTGAGCTGTCAATCACATAGATCTGCAAATGACACAGTCACAGATATTAAAGAAAATGGTCAATAACATGGATGATAGATGTGGAATTTGTTAAATTCTGGCTATGAACTATATCAGAGACGGCCTACCAGTACATCTGTGTTCTCAAAATAATTCTTCCAGTAGGGGCGGACCTTGGGCTGACCTCCAATGTCCCAAACATTCAACTTGAAGCCAGATGATTGAACACTCTTAATATTAAAGCCCTGGTGAATAATGGCATAATGGTCAATGCATTATTTTACACAGATGAATTAAAGCATGATTTGGAAATCCGGTGACTGGAAAATGCAGAGACCTATCAATGTGAGGAAAGTGGCGTATGCATGTTTGTACTTGTGTGGGGGCGATGTGGCTGATGTCTTCCTCTGCCAGCTGTTTCAGCAGAGTGGTCTTGCCGGAGTTGTCCAAGCCAAGCAGGAGCAAGCGCACCTCCCGCTCCGGAGACCGCTTCAGCCTGCGGAGTATGGACAGCAGGCCCTCCAGCTGGATCAGGGTGCATATTAGAGGGAGTGGACTTCAATGCGATGGCAGGTTTTAAGGGTGACAACGGTAAACCTCTGAGCGCTTTCTCATTAAGTTGTTACATGGGGTTAAGCACAGATCGTCACATGCCAGCACGACGTCAGGGTTTGGCGGAGGAAACGTGACGTGTGCAGGAGGTTTAGGAAGTACCATCCGCAGCATGAGGATTTAGCTGTTGGCAGCTTGCAGTGACCTACACATCTATCTGGCCAAAAGCTCTCATTGGCCAAGATTGAGACATGTGCACAGTGAATGGGGTTGTGTCCAGAGAATGGTAAGAAAGGCTTTGGCTCAAGCCATTTGAACTCTGACATTAGTGCACTGTGCCAAAATGTAGAAACATGCAGATTGTCTACAGATAATTTGTCCGACGGGCGCATAACGTAAGGATTTTAGATCTTGGTTTCTTTGTTTTGGAATTTGTGGTTTGTCTTCTTGTATTTTTGTGTTGTCTCATCTGTCTCTAGTAAGCTATATTTTCTATCTCCCGTAAAGCTTTTAATGTCGCAACTGAATGATCCTAAAATGAAAATAAAAGATTGTTTTGGTTTAAAACTATTATGATTTGAAATTACCATCTTAAGTGACATTATCAGCGAGCGACAGTATCAGTATTAAGCTGTTGTAGACATTTTATCACAGTAATAGACCCAAAAACATCAATAAACATCATACTAAAGTACACAATGATATTATTTTAGAAAGTTATAACTTGGCACACGTCTCAAAACAACAGCAGTATTATTCAATGGAAATACAAAAACAAAATCTCTGTTATTTCCTTAGTATTTTCCAAGTATTGACCATAACTCACCATGTTTTCTTCAGTTGTTGGTGCTGTTGTGGGTCGCTGAGACGAAGTGGATTAACGTTGATATCTTTCAAACCCCGCTGCTTGGTAAAACACACGTCAACTTCTGTCGCCTGGGTAACCGCGACGTCAGCGTAAACAACGTGACGACGTCTCTCAGAAAGTGTCCCATGATAAATAAGGCACTCAAAATATTTGCATGACTTCTGTGATTTGCAACGTGAATAATTAGCCAAATCGATTATATTTATTAAGGAAACAATTTAAGTAAGTCATGTTTGGCATTGGACTTAAATGTTCGATCGGCAAAGGACTAATCACTAATCGATAACACTCCTTACGGTGGCAATATGCCTGGGAAAGAACAGGAATAATTGAATTTGCATTGCGTGAAAGTGAAACTAATTCATATGTTTGTCTGCGTTTTCTCGCGCGCGCACACGGCGCCCCCTGGAGCTCAAAAAGGCGAACTGCGTGTCGTGCCGCTACAAACTGTTTCAAGGAACAACACAAAACACCAGAGCGGCGGACTCAACGGTTAACCTGCAACAGTCACCTTCAGTCACCTCAGCACCGAACGATTCGACCGACTGCTTTATGATTCCCGTCGTGTTAACGGCCGTCAACCCAGAAAGATGCCGCAGAAAGCACTGGGATCCATTGTAGGTCTGCTTTGTACCGGGACCTGTCTGGTGCAGGTAAGCCCGTCGCTCGCGCTCCCGCGGTCGGCCCGGCGCTCTCAGGCGACGCCGAGGCTTTGAGGGTGGGCGAAGGCCCCTTCTGCCGATGCTTTTTGTCTCCTCCACAAAGGGAACTGGGCACGGTTCGCGGATGACGTCATTTAGTCAAAGTTTTCAGTTATATTTCGACAGTTTACTTGCTGGACATCTTTTGTTGTAGGTTGTCGTCGTAAGCGGCGCGAGTGTGTTTTTATTCCCTGGATTTTACAGTTGGCTCTAAGATTAACGTTAGCCGTTGCTAAATGGTACCCCGGCACAAATTGACGCGTTTATTCATAGTTGTTATTAGCTCGCGGAAACAAGGCAGTCGGCCTTGAGCAGTTTGGTAGCTTTAAAGAACCACAACTGCAAACTTCAGTCGAAGTTAGTTGATAACGGGATAACCAGCACAGTGTAGCGTTTCACTGCCTATTTGTTTACGTCCTGACCTTGTTTGGCAGTAACATTGACGTCGTTCTCAAAGGCAAAGTCACTTTTAATGTTTTATTGTTGATAGTCACACTGTGCCGCCGTCAACAGAGTCTGATGGCAAATTCCCTCGCTTACATTGAAGAATTGTGAACTTAAATATTTTCCTTTTTTTTTTTTTTTTTAAACCTCAGAAAATTAGCACGGACGTGCAGAAATACACAATCACCGAGGTTAAACACATTCTAAAAAAAACAACAACACACGTCACTCTTGTCAACCGCTCGCTAATCAGTTCCTTGTTGACCCGTGTGATCGAGTGTTGACTTTCCTTTGTGTGTACTTCTTGTGTGTGTCTGAAGGGAAAGGAGTTCTGTTCCGGGGTCAACAACGAGCAGTACCGCTGTGAGATGGGCTACTGCTGCGGAGAGACAGAATGCTGCACCTACTACTACGAGCTCTGGTGTAAGTTCCCACCCGCGATCCATCAATCCGTGTTATATTCCATGTCTACGGCCCATTTAGCCCTGGCTAAACGTGCGAGGATTTGTTAAATCTGTGTTATTTCATACTCCCTACAATGCTTAAATTGACTTTATTATGGCCGTAGACTTCCCGCCCGTTTCCTTTTTTTTTTTTATATTCTGTCGGCCTGTGAGTTACCTGTACACGAGGATGCACGTGTCACATTGTGTTCCCGTGCCCTGGTAGGGTTCTGGTTGGTGTGGACCCTTATCATCATGCTCAGCTGCTGCTGCGCCTACCGACACCGTCGGGTTAAGATGCGTCTTCAGCAGGAGCAACGTCAACGCGAGATCAGCCTCATGGCGTACCAGGGCGCCTCCAGCTCTTTCATTTCCCCTCCACCGCTCAATCTACGTGAGTAGGCTTTGTGTTTTTTGCCATGTGCACGTTGATGATTCCCCCCTCGTCTCCTTAAAAAAAAAAAAAAAAAAGAACCGTTTCGCCATCCAATGTGGCCGTGGGCTTCTCAGAGGGATAACGTGCATGTTAAATAGAGACTAGGCGTTGCACACTGGGCGGCGGTGATGTGAGCATAGAAGCCGAGATGATCTTTACCATAGCAACTCTTTCCAGCACCTCCCATGGGATCCTCATGGTCCTGCTGGGAGATTCAATTAGTTCTCAGATCTGCCCAGACCAGTTCCTGCTGCTCTATAATAAGGCTGTCTTTGGTTACTTACTTACTCCACGACGTATCCCACAAATTGATCCTCAATGTACCTGAACGGCCCCCGGAACAGCTGTTCCTTTTTCCTCAAGGAAACAACCACTTTTTTTTTACTGAGAGTGAGTCATTTCGTCATAGTAGGAGATGCTGGTCATCAGCCTCATCTTGTCATACTTCCTGTAAACCATCCGAGTGTATAATGGAGATCATGATGTCAGTGTCGGCGGGGCATTTGCAAGCAGAGAAGCCTCACAAAGGTCAGTGGTCACTGCGGACGTTGGCTGACTGTTAATATCGTGTTACCTAATACCACAAACGGGAGTCGGCCAAGGTGTTCACTTGTTACGAGTCATGGGCCCAGAGTGGACATGTTTTTTTAAATGTCAAGAATGGAAAGTCAGACTCACACAGAGACGTGTGCGTGTGTGTGTGTGTGTGTGTGTGTGTGTGTGTGTGCGTGTGCGTGTGCGTGTGCGCGTGCGTGCGTGTGTGTGTGTTTTGAGCACTAAAGCTGTTTTTTTATTCGTGGATTTTCAGGGTTCTGGAACGACTGCAAGCTCCCTGACTACGAGGAGGTAGTAGGTCACCCCCCCACGCCACCTCCGCCGTACTCTGAGAACCCCCCGGAGGCCGCGCCAGCATTCCTTCCTCAAGTGAGACAGCCGAGCGCCGCGGTGCCCCGCCCCCTGCCCGGGGGAGACGCGAGGGCGGACAGCCAGGCCTCGGGCGGCTCGTCGGAGCAGCAGCAGGCGGCGACGATGTCGACCCAAGCACAATGTCTGGTCGAGGAGAACGTGGAGGCATCAATGATTGTGGAGGTTGAGGAAGAGGAGGACGAGGAGCTCGTCACTCGGCGTCGCCACGTGACCGGCGACTCGGGGATTGAGGTGTGCGTTTGCCAGCTGGACGTGGATGAGTGCTCGGGGCTCGAGGAGGAGAGCGACGAGGAGCACCGGCTGTGCAAGGTCACCAGTCAGGACTGCTGCTCCGGACACCAGCAGCCGCCCTTCAGGCCCAAGGAGCTCGGCGCCGAGCTGCCCGGCCAGACCGCCAGCACCAGCACGGGAGACCACATGGTGTGATCCAACTTAAACGGCCAACCAGCTTGGCTTTCTGCTCCACGTAGGGTGACGTCATCGTCATCATCATCACCATCACCATAGAGACTGTTTGTTTTCATCCTTTTGATCGACACATGACATGGTGATGATGACGACAACGACTAATTCTTAACTGCTCCTGACGCGGCAACATGAATAACATTGTGTGGACAAAGTCCATTTCTTTTCGCTTTTTTCTTTTAGTGGAAAACAAGAAAACAAACAGTCTGTTTTCATTTTTCTTATTTTTGTTTTCTTAGTATTTGAATTGACGAGGGCGTCACAGATGGTGAGACAACAACAAATGATTGTGACTGTTCGGCTCCGCTTTCATGTTTCCGTTTCTGTCTCGCCGCTCTCCTTGGCCAGAGCATCTCTGGCCCCCCCTCCAGCTGACATTTTACCTCCGGTGGGGGGGGGGGGGGGGGGGGGGGGGGGGGGGGAAAAAAGGACAAAAGACCCAGGGTAAAAAAATTTTCCTCTTTTACCCCACCGGGGAGAGGCCCGGAGGGGGGAAAAAAAAAAACCCCCCCCGCCCCCCAAAAAAAGAAAAAAATTTTGGCCCCCTTTTTTGTTTTACCCGAAGGTGGGAAAATTTTATATTTGGGTGGGGGCCCCAAGGGCCCACCCAGAGCGGGCCGGGGGGAAACTCTCCCCTTTTTTTTTTTTTTAACTCGGGGGTCGGGCTCTTGACAAACACAACCCAGGGGGGGGGGGAAAACCGAAGGGGTTTTTTTTTTTTTCGGGGTGCAAGGGTTTTTTTTCTCTCTGGGAACCCACAGATGATCAACAACCTCTGTTGTCGCCCAAAAAAAAACCATAGAGTTTTTTTGGGGGTGGGCAGAGAACCCCCCCCCTTTTTTGGGGGGGGATTAAATCCCCCCGGGGACGCAGAAGGGGGGGAGCCACCCTCTTTTTGTCGCAGAAAAAAAAAAACCTCTTGTTCCTCAATCAACGAGGGAGGAAGGAAGGAAGGTGGGGGGGGTGTTGTGGTGTCTCTGTGTAGCGCTGTAGCCTCTGGTTGCCGTACTTGCTCGGCACAGAGGTGGATGACTTATTAAAAGCACTGGTATTTTGCATGAGGCATGAATTGTCTGTGTTCATGATTAGTGGTTTCCAGTAGTTGAACTAGTCTCCTTTTTGTGATTTGAAGACGAGCAGTGACTGACGAGCCGGTGGATGTCTCACGGAGAGGTGGGGGGCCTCTGGTGGTGTCACTCCATCGACTGTTGAAAAAAAAAAAAAAAAAAAATTAAACTTCCATTAACCACCTAACAACAGCGTGCGAATCCGCCGTGAGGCTTCCAGGAAACTCGCAGTGTTGAATTCAAGGCGGGATCTTCTGGTTCTTTTTGCGTTGTGCTCGGAGACTAAGCCAAAAAATGCCGCGGCCCGCTTCAAAGCGGCAGAGTGATTCTGCGTCGATTTTAGAAAGTAAGACCTGAGCTTGTTTTTCCGAGAACGTGCGCTCGCTTCACGAGAAGAGGATGCGGTTTGAAAAAGATTGAAAGCCACGAGATTTAAACTGCCCTGCTATGTAGTTTTTGTATCCGAAGCAGGTTTCTCTTGTTAGTTTTTATTTTGGAAATACTGTGCGTGTTGTTATTTAGTTAGTGTGGCACTGATGGAAATCGAGGATTCATTTTGTGTTTTGGAGGACGTCAATTCCGAGAGATTACTTTGTAACTTTCTTGCTAAGCTGCATTTTGCTTCTTTGTAGCCGTATGCAGAAAAATAAAAAATGGGGGGGGGGGGGGCTTTTGTTCAGAGTCTTGAGTCAAGTGGAGGTCCATGGTTTTCCTTTTGCCAAACGGCTGCTCTGCCTCCCCGGTTTTTAAGGGCTTTACCGGGTCCTCTGCTGTGGACAAACGTCCATCCTTCCCTTTCCCCGATGGATTCATCTCCTCCATGTTGTCCACTAAAAGCCACAGTTGCCGAGATCCACCATCTGAATGTGGTGAGGTTTTTTTGTGGGGGGGGTTGGAAGGTATTCTAATGTTGTACTGGAGCTCATATTTAACAATAGCTGATTGTATACGACTGTGTTTGTTAGGCTTTTACTCTGCCTTTTTTTTTTCTTTAATTGACGGAGGTGCGTGATTTTTACCACTTAATGATAACAATCCCCTCTCGTTTGTGTGGTGGTCAAGACGGTTTCCCGATCTCAGGGTTATCTTTCACAAGCAGTGCTGGAGTTTTGAATTGATCCCCTTTATGACCGACCAGTCTCATTGAGCCAAAGCGGTCATTTAATGATAACGGTTTCTCCGTAGTTACTTTTTCCCTTCTGCGTCACGCATCTCTGTAGTCTACTATAGTTTACTCAACTAGGCTATGCAAAACTAATCCTACTGTTTATATGCTGCAAACCCTTTTCTCTCACTCGGTCATTGGTCAGGAGTCCCCCAGTACAAGCAATACAACTCCTGAGTACTCGTTGCAATGTACTGTAATCTACTTTGTTTCGGTGTGCGTACATGTATTTGTTTTAAGAGAACCTGTATAAAAAAACAACAACAACAACAACCAACCACTTGTAATTCTACCTGCAATGATGTGAGGATGTAGGCTTCAGTGTCAGCTAAGAAGCCATTCGTTTTTTTTATTAATATAATATATATATATAATCTTTTTGGCTTTTTCCATCCCTCAACCACTAACACTTTCTACTCCTGACATCATTGAGATATTGAAACTGGAGGGCGTGGTTTTCCTTGGAATAATTTGTTTGATATCTTTTTAATCCGTTTGTCACATTTCCATCCCTCGTCTTTGTTCCACTAATTTCCATCTGTTTTCTCTGTTACAGCGACAGCGTTCTGACTGTTGCCTTTTTAATCCTCAGTTATTACAGCGCCAACAGTTGCAGAACGTTTTATATATTATACACATGAAAGACCTCAACGTGGAACGTAGTTGGCTTAAATTAGGTCACATTTGGGTGCTACAGGCAACTTGTAAAACTTTTCGTTTTTTCCTCAACTGTAGATTAATACCAATGAGATGCGACGGTTGACCCATTTTATTTTTTTCCCAAAATGAGAAACACTGTTTCTACATTGTTTTGTTAATAACTAAACAAGGCGAAATGAGTGGTGAAGGACAACTTTAAAGCACTGAATGATCGCTTAAAACCCCCTTTTTTTTGTAGTAAGAAGTCTTCTGTGTACTCGTTGGGTCATCATTTGTATTTTATTTTTTTAATAAAACAAAGCTTGGCACTCAACTGACTGACATTCTTTGACCCGAACCGTAATCTGTTTAGCAGCCTTGAGTATGTCGCTGTAAACATTTCTAAAGCCTGGGAAAAAGAACCTCTGCTTCCTTGAGCACTTTCACAGGAAGTCAGCAGAAAAGTCGGATGCTGCAGCTCAAACTTAACTTTCTAAAATGAGCTGTTTTCCAGAAGATGGTCCACTCTTTGACGTTGCAAAATATTACTACATATAACCCTTTCAATGCTAGATGTCCTAATCAACGTTCACATCGGTCTTTAATGAGGCAATGGAAATAAATCCAATAAATAAAAAGATGGACGGATACATGAGGCACGCGGTTCTCGTAGAAACGTACGGATTATAAATAAATTCGTGTTTGTCAAAGTGGCTGCAGGAAAAAAAAGGAAGTCCTTGGTCGCTGCACAAACCACTACACAACCTGGAGATGATGATGTTATTGAGGTGAAGCCGCTTGCTATTTCCCACAACGGAACAAAGAGGAGTGGTCCTCCTTCGGTCGGCGCCGGCCTGTTGGGTTCACTTCTGTGTCGTACGACACACAAACGCAGAAGCCGTGTTTTTACAAAATAAGAGAGACACAAACAAAAGAAGTCATTGAAATTCCATCCAGTGCAAAGTTCATTTCTGGTATCTAAATGTATCCATCTTAAATATTTTCAGACTGATAAACATTTTGTTTCTCAAATACACACACACACATGCACGCACAAAACCCGCGGAGGGGAACTGAGACACAACGTTTCCCCGAAACACACAATCTGTGACACATGCATCAATGGGACTGTTCTGTTTCCCGTGTAAACCGAGCCCGGACCGTTCATGAAAAAACAAATGTCATGCATGTTACCACTGCAGGTTGAGAATAAACAGCACACAATATAGTTTGTGTGTATATATATACACATCAAAATGATAAGCAGGTAAAAAGCACAGATATACTTTGCCTCTAAAGCAAAGAGTAGAGATCTTTAAGGAGCGTCAGTAAATGTGGCATCATTTGCCTTTAGTGCTATTTGGTCAGCGCTTCAAGTCATAGTGTTCAGCAGGAAAACACTGGACACCTTACTGTACTTTAGGTACTTTTTCTTCACACAATAGGATTTTTTTTTGTACCATACTAGCTGCCCGTCAGATGTCATACGGCACGTCTGCCATGTAACAAGTACAGAGGTGGAGATGTTAAGGCCGAGTCGGTGTGTGTGTGTGTGTGTGTGCGTCAGGCGAGAGTTGGACGGAGGCTCTTTGCAGCGGCCGATACGTCTCCTCCGTCTCTCCCGTATCGATAGTGTCCTCGGGGTAAAACCGCCGGCAGTGTCTTGCTTCCCGTCTCGGTGTCTCCTCTGTGTCTGTATAGTTTCGGTTGGTTTTTCTTTCGTCTCTCAGTAGAAGCGCTTGCGTCGGCTCTCGCTCCAGTGGCCGTAGACCACCACGCCGATGACCACCAGGAAGATGCAGCCCAGCATGGACAAGAACACGGTGAAGAAAATCGCTATTCCGCTCATCCCTTCCTCAGTCTGACCCACTGGAAGAGAGGAACGAAGCAGAGGGTCAGCAGGCGGGTGGAGAGACGACAGGTGGAGGGTGGGATTGGTGCGCTTATTACTCATTTACACGACTGCGTGTGTGTGTGTGTGTGTGTGCGCGTGTGCGTGTGTGTCTTTCTCACGTCGGAGTAGCTCAAAGTTATCCACGCTGGGTACAGTTATCTCCTCTTCATCCTCCTCCTCCTCCTCCTCTTCCTTTGGACTCCGCAACACCGTCAGTTGGTAGAGTTTCAGGGAAATGATGTCGTGGTTATCTGCGCGTTGAGAGTCACAAAACACGAGGGTGTTTACGAACAACGCACACTGCGTCCGATTAGGGGCTAAAAGGACACCATTAGAAGTATTACTGGAATTGTAACCTCAATTCGATGCACGTGTGGTTACCTGAGAGGTCCCCCGTGACGGCCGTGGCTCCAAAGTAATATCCTTTGGGAAGCCGCACCCCGGGTATGTCGAGGCAGTCCCTCCACTCGTGTTGTCCGTCGATGTCTATCATCACCTAAAAGGACAGAAGCACGTCAGGGACTTTCGGAGACGGGGGAGCTGAATGTAAAGGCCCGGATGAAATCAAAACGAGGGTCAAACTTTCGCCGCTATCGGAGGTGGGGGGGCGGGTGGGGGGGGGTCCCTCACCGTGAGCCTGCGGCGGACGTATCGGATGAAGAGGAAGGTGTCGTGCTTGAGGTTGCGCACCATGGCGTTGCAGCCGCCCAGCTCCGTGGGCCGACCGTCCCTCTCGTGGTCGTAGCTGACGCTGCCGTTCCCGACCATGGCCAGTACGAAGGGGAAGATCCTCTTGTGGTCACGAGAAGAGAAAGGGGGGGGGGGGGGGGGGAAGAAAAAAAGATGGTGAGCGCGATGAGGAAATGCACCGAGTTCAGCCGGTCCCTCGTCGTATCGCTTGAAAACGAGGGTACGTTTGAAGTCAGAGAAGCGTGCGTAAGGGCCGAGAGGTAAGTGGTAGGATTGGGATCATCTAAAAGCAGGTTACCTGTGTGCGAGGAGAGTATCTTTTCTTCTGCGCCTGCCTCACGTGACGGCACAAGAGAACAAAGTCAGTACTTTTACGAAAATATTGCAAGAGCACTCAGGCCTGAGACGTAAACAGTGCCGCTCATACCTCCAGGTGTTTCTCCTCATTGGGATACGTGTCCACAAACACACCCAAGCCGGTGAAGTTGTCCTTATTTCCAAATACAGGACCTGTAAAATAATAAGACAGTGTTAATAGTGTCGGGTCTTTTTTAATGGGCTGATATAGTAAGTAAGATGTCCTACAGCGCTTACCTTTCTGCCCACGTTCCTTAGTGTACCAAATGGCCAGCCCATCCCCATTCAGGTTCTTCTTTCCTTGGCCGTGAATCTTAAAGTGCACCTGCATCTCCCAGTCCGTCAGATGGCACGGCTGAAAAGACGCACACGGGTTCAACAAAGCCACTGAAGCACAACAAGGAATCCAATGTTGATCTGAGCGATACTCGGGTTGGTATATTAGAGACAGATGATTATTGTGGTAAGTTGAGATCAACAACGAAGAAGTCAGTCGCTCTGAAAGCCAACCCACTCTTAATATGTATGTGTATTCCCCATCACTGATAACCATTGAACCACTAGGCTACAGTCAGAGTCCCGTTCATATTTCCAACCCTTTGATAACTCGCTTCTTCGGCATTTATTACGATGTGGCTGCACTATAATACTACAAACACCTCTTTGAATAACGCAATGCAAGTCAGCGGCATCCTGTGCAAATGGAAATGATGTCATAGCACGAGACTGCAATCCCACCACCACCACCAATACTCACGAGGCGGCTCCACACTGCCCCCTGCCGGCTCTGCTTGTCAGGTGTGAGTCGCAGCTGGTCGGTGGTTACCATGGCATCCCCCATCAGCTCCCAGTGCGAGGAGCCCAAGGATCCCACACCTGGGCACATAAGGAAGCAAAAAGATGACAACAGAGAGAGATCAGTGACCCGGAGCTGTTATGAAGAGTCACCTGTGTTTGGGGGGGAGGAAAGGTGGCACTACGTAATGTATCTATGAGAGGTTTCCAGTATAACGGGGTCGTTATTTTAAGAAAGCGCCGGGGGAACAGATCCAGATGTTTTGGGGGATAGAAAAGGTGGAAATAGAGAATAGTTTTGACGGCTCGATGCGTTGTTCTGGAAAAATCTGTCCCCCAGCCCGCGGTGCACCGCTGTGGCCGGTCCGTGGTGCACGCAGCGTTACCTTGGTACGGCTTCGAGAGGGAATACTCCCGCTTCAGAAACTCCTCCATTTCGTGATCGCCGTCGGCAAAACACCGACTCGAGGCAAAGAGGAGGAAAGCCAAAGTCCAGTGTGGTTTAAAAGACATTATTTTCCGTCGGAACGGTGATCTCGGCTCCCAGTGATCGCTACAGCTGCGGGCAGCCATCGTGGGTCAGAATTCAGCCCACTGGATCGTCAGCCGGCCTCCTATTGGCTGGCCGTGCTGCATGGCTCGCGATCATTGGTCCGTGTGGGTGTCGATTAAAATGCACGCTTTTAATTGGACGTGCTGCAAAATCGTTGGGTTACGTAATGGCAATAGAAATCATGAACTAATGTATTAGATTGGAATTATGTACACGCTGTATATAATAAAGTAAAATATGAAACTTGTGATAATATTAATTATATTAATTAAGGGATTTATGTAGGCAACCGATACATTATTTCCCTCCATACATCTTGGACGTCCATAAACTTACTTGTCAGCGTATAAGCATAACTTTAAGGTACTTGTATGGATTTAACCCTGTGACCACACGTATCTCATATCTTAATAGACCAGCTGCTTTTTTGTAATTCTGAAACTAAGAGATAAGTAGCATGCATGGCAAAAAATACTTCAAAATCTGACGACACAAATACACAGCTATAATGATTGCACAGAGATTATGACGGCAGTGAGGTGAGTGACGTTGTGCTTTTTGCTGCTGCCCCCCGTAGATCAGGGTGCTACGTAGCCGCGCCCCCTTCACGGTCTCCGCTGCCAGTCGGTTTTCTCACTACCGAGGGATGCACTGAAGGAAGGAAAGCATGGAGCCCACCGAAGAAAAGACGAGCAAAACGGTCGACATATATCGCGACACATGGGTCCGCTTCCTAGGTACGTATCGTTTCATTTGTCCGACTCGTTTGTTTGTCTTTTAAATAGACAGTAATGAACCAGCGGACGACACACATGTAACTCGGTGGTGTCCCTGCATGTCGGCTGCCTTCTTGAAAATCTATTTATGGCAAGGTCATTTATTTAAAAGAAAAAATGTTGTTTTTTTAAACCTTAGAACATAATGGACAAACACAGTCGTCTGTTCTTTTTTGTCCACGACGTAACGATGGTTGACCGTAGCGTGAAAAGCGTTCTAGTCTCCGGTCCGTGTCAATAAAGGTTGGTTTCGTAGTTGAGGAAGTGACTCACGCCACCGCAACAAAACCGAACACTCCCTTGGAAGGTGCACATTCCTGTTCCCTCTTTTGTTGTTCTTCTTCTTCTTCTTCTTCTTCTTCTTCTTCTCCTGTTAGCTGAGAATGGCATCAAACAATAACAACAACAACAACAGCTGAAGGTCATTCATGCTGCAGCAGCTGTTCCCCTGCATGTTTACAACTGGACAACGGCGACCATGTCGAGTGGATCTATTTATCACCTTCATGGATTTATAACCTACCTGCTCAAATCTACAATCGTTGCTCTTCAGGGTGTTCCCTACATACATACATACATACATACATACATACATACATACATACATATAGTATTTTTATTGAGAATATTTGAATATTTACATTTGTGAAATTCCCCGCAGTACTCTTTGTATTCATTATTAGCATTCTGTTAAAATCAGTGCTTCTGTGCAATTTTAGCAAAGGATTTTTTTTTGTGTTTCACTAATGTTGGGATAATGTTATAACTGGGATAAAACGTTATTTGAGCCCTATATTACATATCATTATGTCAGGGCAGGGCATTTGGTTATCATAACTGGGTGCCTTGCTGGAAGCTAATCTTATCTGTGCTCTTGTTATCTGCCTCATTATACCAGTCTTATCGTCTTACATGTGCTTCTGGAGTTATTGTAGTGGACCGTTGCCACTAAAGGTCGTAACTCCAAAGTCCCTAATGATGCTGTAGTCCACAGCGATTCGTCTTAAATTATTAATCGCCTGAAATTAAATCATATTATTTGTAATAAGCCATCCATCTGAATCTCTTGGCTTTGTAGGTTATTGTAGGCCTATATGTTTATTAAGGAAATCCCAAATCAAAACTGAAAAGTGTGTATTACAACGACCATATCAGAGGTTTTCATTGAATGTGGCTTATGGCTCAGGGGACTGACACAACGTCCGAGAGGAAGTTGAGGTCTGTCGGCATCTTGCATCTTGCAGCATATTCAGACAGACAGACGGTTACTTGATTATTCCCACATAACTACACTTATGATCTCAGTCTCACGTGTGTTTCTGCGTGTTTCCCCGCAGGCTACGCCAACGAGGTGGGGGAGGCCTTCCGTGCTCAGGTGCCAGTGAGTTTCGTTCGGGGAACCTACGCTGTGGCCACCGTGTACGTTACCGCCGATGCTGTGGACAAAGGGAAGAAAGCAGCCGCCGTAAGATTCACCATTTGCAGGCGTTCGCTTCATCAGCGGATGAATAAATTGATTGAATCGTGTGGTTTCGTGTGAATACGTGACCTTTCGCCCGTGCCTCTCTTCCTCGAGGCCCACGGCGACAAACCCGGGAGGGCGACGCGGGTGGCGGCGGCGGTGGTGGACACGTTCGTGTGGCAGGCCCTCGCCTCGGTCATCGTACCGGGCTTCACCATCAACCGGGTGTGTGCCGCGTCGCTGCACCTGCTGGCCAGAACCACAAAGTGGCCCCTGCCCGTCCGCAAGTGGACCACGACGGCCATAGGCCTCTCTACCATCCCCTTCATCATCACTCCTATAGACAGGTCGCTCTCGTCGTGCCTTTTGGTGAAATCCATTGAGCGGTGCTCCATTGCGAGTTCGACATTTCAGTGTTTCCCTCCGTTTTTTGTGCGCTGCAGGTCGGTGGATTTCCTGCTCGACTCGAGCCTTCGGAAGCTCTACCACGAGGACGAGAAGGAAGAATGAGGACGGATCATCAGGCACTAAAGAATGGGGATGAAGAATTTCATGGAGCAAGACCCGACAGCCGGTCGCGAATGCATATAATAAAATAGATTTTTTTTACAAAGTTATTAAAGTCGGCTGAAAGGGAATTCGTGCTTCATGAAATATCTTGGAGGGATCCTTACGTTGAACCTCTCTGGGCAATCTGGGTAGAGACAACAGCGAAATGCTTATCAGGGCTGTAACAGTGTGACATTTGTTTAAATATTCACGGTGAAATCCTTCTTATTAAAGTATTCCTCGGCAGGGACACTGTTCTACTCCTCTGATCCTCCCTACAGGGAACCCCTACAAGGTTACAAACTCCCCTCACGTCGACAGGATTAAAGACAAATCCTCCCTTGTGGTCTTTATTTACCCTATTCAGGGGTTCTACAATGCCAAAAACAAAAGCCAGTTTTCTTTAATGCTTCTCTTATTCTTGACTTCCTTTGGCTGTTTCTGGTTTCATTCTGAAAACCAAGGTGTCTGTTACTTTAAATACATGTTTCATGTGCACGTTTCATGGTTTCGTTTCACCTTGCTGGTGACGGGGGGCCACGTTTGCACCGGAAGCATGCGGTTGTCTTACGAACATTTCAATCTAGCGTTGAGCTACTCGAATACTTGTGGAGGCCGCTGGAGAAACGGGTTTTAAGGGATTCTCTTGCACGTTTTTATTGTTTTCACTGCTTTTCTCTGAGGAGCCGAGTCATAAACTGTATTTCATGCTGAACTATGCAAAAGGAACCTGATGGGGAGGCGTGTACACGTGTGACAGTGATAGTTCTCTCTCTTTAAAGATGAAGAATGTGGTGACGTTACATGTCATTTAGCTGACGCTTTCTGTCTAAAGCGACTTACAATAAGTGGAGGTTGTCATTGTCTTCTTTTATGTACTCCAGTGTAAAACTCAAGCAATAAGTGTTCTGTGTTAAAAAATTCTCTTTGCTGTTGGGAATAATGTTCAAGGGGAGAGATGAGACTGTGAAATATACAACTATATTTTCAATAATATTGAATTGTCAGTCCGGGAAACAATGCACAACGTTTGTGTTTGAATTGCTGCTTTGAAATATTGTAACGCGTGTGGATTCAGCGCACGCGGCGACGGATGTTTTCATTCACTCAAGTTAACTTTGACCTCCTGTAAGTTCGAGGGTTCCGACCTTTTAATTTCAGACAGCGTGACTCGTTACAGCAGGGAACGCACAAGAGTAACACTGTAACATGGCCGAGGCCCGTAAATGTAATGCAGCCGTAATATTTTTCATGGGCTTTTTTTCCTGCTTTGATGAGCTTGGTGCATCCATTGGGAAAATGTTCAATTTTAACACTTGAGATTGTTTACGGGACTTTAATTGTCATTGATCGGTTTTTAAACCTGTTTTCAATGTTTTTCTCTTGAATTTTGGGTTTTAATAGTCACATTTTCAGCTTTAACTGAAAAGGGAAGATTAAAACCTCAAACTCCATGTTCACCATGTGGAGAATACAGTGTTTTTGTTTTCAAATGAAAGCAGCTGTTGGAAGCCGAACTTCCATTTGTAACAGTGGACAGCCACTATAAAGCAGCCGCCCTGCTCTGTCTGTCCCTACTTCTGACTTTGGGAGGAATAAAAAGATGAAAACGCCACAGTTTGATTTGGAGTTCTTGCAAAGTTTATTGGCAGCGTTCATTCTTCATTTCATTGTTCATCACTCTTGCCACCGTGCGGCTTCCGGTGACAACACCTTTCCAAAGTGTGATTTCTATCTTTCTTACTTTGCGCCGGCACAGTTTCCACTTCCTGAGTAACTGTTGCATTCAGATCAAAGAGGCCCAATCAGAGAGGCCCAATCCAAGGGGCCGTTTAACCAATGAAACGCATGCTCCGGAGGGCAAGCCGGCCCTGCGGTGATTGGCGGGGGGGGCGCTTGCAGTTACTCAGCTTGATGGAGGCAGGAGGCCACAGCTGATGCCAATCCCGTGAACAAGGAGCCTCCTTAAAGGGCCCAGGAAGCACCAGCAGCCAGAAGCGCAGCCATGTCTCTTCTCAATCTGGTGTTCGCGGCTCTCTTGGTGTCGTCGACGGCTCGGGGGGGTAAGAAGAACACACAACCTTTTTAAAAAAAAAAAGAAATGTTTTTTTTTTAATCTACATTTGCTTTATTCTTTTTGTATCTGTAAAAAAACAATCTTGCCGAGTCTCCCGCACAGCTGACCTCTTGACACGCCACAGGCGTTCACCGAAACCTGCAGGGCCAGTGGGTGATCACCAAGGACGACCCGCAGTACGAAGACACAGACTTCCTACCCGATGACGACAGCACGTGGCCCGACAGCACGTGGCCCGACAGCACGTGGCCCGACAGCACGTGGCCCGCGAGCACGCCGGGGGACGTCGCGCCTGTGACGCCGGAGGACTACAACTCGCTGACGACTCTAGAACCGCATAGCATGACGGGACAAGGTGACCGCGGTGCTTTCACAATCCAGAGCGTCGGGGCCCTTTTTTATTATTTAAAAACGGTGGCTGATCTTGTTCCCTGTTCTTTCCCGAAGAGGGAGGCCTGGCGGTGTGGCAAATCGTGCTGGTGGTGTCCGTCCTGCTGGTGTCCGTGGTGGGGTCTCTGAGCGTGGTCTACTACATGTGCATCTGGAGAGGAGGCCGGATTCACTATCAGCCGCAGAAGGTGGATTATACTTAAGAAACCTGACAAATGCCAATAAAATGAACTTTGTGTAGAAACTGAAGGCTTCTTGAATGTTTTTGACGGTTAATGGACTCCATGTGGGGCTTGTTGCCTCTCCTAAATGTAACTTAATCAGAATTTGAACTTGCATTAATTAACACTCCTTATGAATACATGTTTATTCGAACATTCGTTTCCCTTGTGGTGGTTTGCACGATGTGTCATTTAGGCAGAACAGTGGTTTATTGGTCAGGTTATCAACTGGAGTGTAAATTAAACTGTTACTTGAGCTCTACTATCACTTTTTGGGTGCTTTGAGTGGCCAAGCATCTTCATGTAAACCCTATCAGAGTGTTCATGAGCGGTACGCTCTAGTTTTATAGTCTAGTGGTCATCTTGACAATGGCCTTTAATCATCCTGCATAACTTTGCCCCAAGTGCTTTCTCAAATAAGATTGGATTGTTTTTAATTCTAAAGGGGCTTCTCTGAAACTTCAATTCCCCTCTTGCTGTGCCCAGTTGTTATAATGGCCACTAGAGGTCCTCACCATCACTATTTATGGCTTGCTCCACCTATCTGGACACAACTGAAGATATGTTCACTTGAGCAACGCTTTCACAACAGATTTGTTAATACGTGGTGCCTCAAGCACCTGTTTAATGACTCCAGTGACGGACATTGGGTCATTCATGCATTGGATTTGAAAAGATTAGCAAAAGTTAAAGAAATCTGTCTGAATTGAGATTTCTGTAGATCGCTGGCCACATGATTCAAGTACCGATCCCTCCCTGTGAACGTCAATGGTCTCATCGTGATGGGTGTAAAAGTTGCTGTCTACTGCACATTTTTTGCTATTTAAGGGAAATTCCCAACTTGATGTGTCATTTTCTGAGGAAACCTTTTTAAAGATTTTGTGTATTCCAGCTAAGGCTCTTCTGACACTCAACCTAAGCTACCACTGTTGTTCGCTGCCTTTTGGCAAACATTTTCCTCAGTTATCTTCATCACGACTGGCAGACCGCCCAACCGTTACCCATAAAAGTAATGTTTAATTCCGTGTAAAGCAAGTAAGCTCGCATCAAACCCACAACTGCTTAAAGTCCCCCCTTGAGCAATATCAGGTGGCATTAGGGGGCCCAAGGAGACCAAAAGCTGATGAATTGAATTAATCTCCCCTCCTGTGATGGATGGGCCTGTTCGTAGGGGGCTGGAAAATGGGGGGGGGGGCATTGTTCATCTGTCACTCAGATTGCCATGTCCCTCTATGATTTGTGTCTGGGTTGTGAAGGCCACAAGTGGCCAAAAGACCTCCTCCTCACTCGTCTCAAAGCTTTTTTTCCCCCCCATTAAATTGCTGGCATCCATAAGAGAGAAACAAACGCGTGTTTGACTCTTTATTTTATACAACAGTTTGCTGGGGTGAGTTGTCAGATAAAACAAATCCCCAAACATGTATAATATTCAAGAGGTGTGTAATTGCATAATGTATATTTTTCCCAATAGTGTGGAAGTTTGTGTTCCTTCCATAAGTTTACACAAAACTGGATTGCTTGTATAATTGGAAATAAACTGTCCATGAAGAGCCCAAATAAAATCCTTCCTGGCGGCTATTATCTCTTCATTTGAGATCACCTGATCAACATTGGTAGCGTTCTATGCTGCCTCACATTTTATGCCAACAAACAAATTGTGATCCAGCTTTTTGGCAGTGAACCCAATTGGGGGCAACCTTCTTGGCTCCGAGTCTTTAGACTCCTTTGTTTCTCTAAAGCACCTGCCCCCTTCAAAGGCACCTGCTCCTCCAAGGGAACAGGTGCTTAAAGGTGATTCAATAGAGAAAACGGCTCTAATTCCTTCATGGCTTTGTTGCTGTGTGTGGATTACAAATTAAGAGATAAAATCCGGTGCCTGAGAGCAAGAGATACTGAAAAGGATGTGATGCCACCGTTGCTGTAAGTGAACAGAGCGAGCGAGCGGATCGAGGTGTCATAAACTTGACCAGAAAGTAAACGCGACGAGCCGACAGCCGCGCCAGCTCCTCTGTGAGGCCGAACTGAGGAAAAGGACGGCTTCCAGCTAAATGCTGAAGTCAGCACGCTAACATGCTCACACGCATCGGCCTGACATGCTGAAGTTCAAAAGGGGGATATATATATATATATATATATATATAGTATACATAAAGATATATCAATGTTTAATTAGCTACAATACGCCTGTTCATTTGAATTCCTCTCTTCTCTCACTCACACACACACACACACACACACACACACACACACTCAGAGCTCTCAGTGCCCCCCTTTAGTGAAGGATGTGTTTGCGTAAAGGCCACTTTAAGGGCACTAACTGAAATGCTCACATGTCGATTTATTGAGGTCAGCAGAAGGCTACGTTTAGAGAAACAGAAGAGCGCGTTTGTTTGGATTGATTTTCATGAATGATTTTATGCTTCCAAACAAAAGGCAACTACAAAGGAAATAAGGCAAAGCCACATAAAAAATGAAGGGCAAGGCCAGAGTCGTGTCAGTGAGCATTACGCTGATAAATATCAGTCTGTGCCTGTGAAACGTGGAGACAAAGAGCGTGGCTAATTGTGCTGAAATATTCTGTTATGTGGATTTGATCAAGTTCTTTACTCTGGAGGGGGGTGAAATTAACACAATGGGCATAAGTGGTATTGTTGTTAGGGATTTATTTTTTTTAAATTGTATCTTAAGAGGATAAAAACAACATTTAAGCTATAAATGCAGGGTTGAACTAATGATCGGCCAGTGAGACTCATAGAAGTAAGTTAAATGAAATGGATTATATAATTAAAAATAGAGAAAAAAAAGATAATTTTGGCAAACACAAAATACAGCACATATTGCCAAATCCGACCTTTATGTTGACGGAACGGCTCGGAACAATTCTGATTCATGTGAATCAATATCTATTGTCTTGATACAAATTCAATAAGCTTAACAAAGGGCAACATGACGTCGCTCGTCTTAACAAAGAGGCTGTCAGTGATGAAGTGGTGATTCGTGATTTGACAGCGTGCCGCGTGAGACGGGCTGGCTAATCTGTATGCTGACAGGCAGCTCTCTCTCTCTCTCTCTCTTTGTGAAATGAATTAGGTGAACATGAAAACTGAGTAGACCTTCAGCAATACATTATGTATGAGGAGCTTGAAGGCCCCTACTGGATTCTGTTCAGGTGGCATCAGAGGATGCAGCCAGGTGGAAATGCTGGCCGGTCACTTAAGGCACACTATCCGTGGTAATATTTCTACTTGAAAGCGCATGCATGCGGCTTCGGCTGCATTCTTCTGCTTGCAGGTTGAACGGTGCAACACAAGCAGGTTTCTACAGCGGCCACAGAGGAGGTTTACTGGGGCAACAGGGGATTAAAGGCCTCGCTCTAACCTTCAGGCTATCTCCTACCTTGCATAACCGTAAGCTGCCATTTGCAATTTAAATTAAAATCTATATTTCGTTCTTGCACCCGATTTACAAGTTACAGTACTTCTGCAGTTATCATCCTCATCCGCGGGGTTAGAGAATCTTTGCAGCCCACAGGTCATCTGTGTATCAGTGAGTTTGACAGCTTGACATCATTTGTAAATCAGATAACAAACCATATGAGCCCCCCCTCCCATACCCAATGCCCATCCTCTGTAGTTTTGAGATAACGTCTAATTTCACTTCTCTCCAGTAATCCCACAAAGACATCGTCGGCTCGCCGCGAAATCAATATGGTGGGGAAACACCATTACAACAGTCTTCACAGTGCTTGGGTGAATCATTCGAGATCACAGATGAACATGCAGACGCAGGCAGACGCACACACACGCACACACAAACAGGTACGCGTACTCCGTGTGTGCTTTGATACTACCAGACTAATTCAAAAGTACAACATTGCTCAGTTTGATTTGAATGTGTTCCAGCGCCTGGTGACACGTCTTTGGCACATTGAGAAATGTGCAAGAAATATGGCTGAACCATTATAAGGATGGATTATAATTGGTGTATTGGGCTCGCTGGGGATTGTGGTCAATAGAGGGTGTCCATGATATTTAAATAAAAAACTGTAAATGATGGCACTGAAGGACAGGTGAGGCCGATCACCAAAGTCAGTAGGATTCATCCTCTGACGACCATAAACGTGTACAAAATCAGACACATTTCCTCCTTTTGGTGGAGCTAGAAAACATCCTCGTCCTCGGGATTCAGCCTCTGGAGAAAAGAATAATCTGTCAAATATATCAATCATAATAATCTGCAAGACGTTTTTAGATCGTGGCAAAACAATGCCAAACAAAGTGTGTCCAGCTTTTTAAATGTCGTAATTTGCTGTTTAGCTTTGGAAGAAATGTCACCTTGGCCTCGGCGATTATTACGTCCTCCCATTTAAGAGACCAAGTAAACCTAAAAAAGAGTAATCAACAGACTGTATGATAATGGAAGTCATGTTTAGCTGCAGAACCAGTCACATGAATAGAAGCTTGACAGACAATTATGTCGAAAACAAGCACTCGAGCAGTGGAAACAGACTGAAGTACATGCAAGGTAACATGCCTTTACAGAGCTGCAGTCGGTGTACAGTGAACGGACGGGCAGACAAACGGTCCAGTCTCCTTCTGGAAGCAAAATCACGAGTGGGGGAGAGTCGGGGAGCCACAACAATGAGCGCATGACAGTCTAAGAAGAGTTAAGCCTGTAGACGTCCTGTGATTTAAAGTATCTCGCCCCCTCTCCCTCTCTCTCTCCTTCTCTCTCTCTCTGGCACTGCTATAATTTTCCTGGGTGGAATGATGGATGAGGCGGTGTCAACCCATGTTCATTATAATGCACACCATCTATTCTTCCCAGCCAGACTCTCTGCGCTCCAGGAAAAGAGAGAGAGAGAGAGGACAGACTCTCATCTGATTTTGTGGAGAGAATTTGCTGCTAGGTGTGTGTTAACCTAGCACACAGTGATCCATCAATCACTAATGAAGATACTGCGAGGTGACACAGCTTGTTCTTTAAAAAAAACCACAATCCTCTCTGGGTACGAACGATAATTGCCCTTGCATGTTCTTATGAGCTTTATCCTTTGCAATTTGCTTGTTCTACATTAATAACGAGCTCGCGCCGACAGTTAGCTGTATGCAAAATATGCATAAAAACATCTGGAAGCAGTGTTTGTCACCATGACCTATTTGGAATGTAGGGAAGGCCGTGCAAATTGCATTTTTTTAACCTCTTACTACAAGCGATGGGAACCTGCAAGGACACATTTTTATAACAAATGGAGGTTGTTTTACACTATAGAGTTTTCTGTTAACATCAGTTTCAAGTGGGCGGGGCTCTGTTACACAAACATTCATGTACCAATGAACTTCACCGTTTGAATCAAAATGATAACATTTGTGGTGGTCTGTCAATCAAATCTGGTCATACGATATGGGGACAGTCGTAATTACTGAGGTTGTCTGTAAATCTGTAGCCGCCCCCCCAAAAAGGAAAAATAGGAATCTGTGTAAACTGGAATTTCATGTAGCAACTGTTACATAAATTGATTTATTTTCAATTAATTAGTGTTACTTGCATGATGCTGCATTTCAATTAAGAATCTGGTCTGATTTTTCGTTCACTCTTGACTCTTGACTCTTGACTCTTGACTCGTGAAGTACATTTTTTTCTCACACTGATAGCATCTCGTCCTATCAGCCTCCCGCCAAGTGTGCCAAATCGTGTGCGACGGTCTTTTGAAAGCCTTCAAAGATGTATCGAACGAAAATGGGAGGAAAGTCTCCGAATGAGTTCTGGATCATTCTTGGGATCAATAACTGCCCGGCTATAAGCCCTCGCTCGTCCATCCGGCTCGTATGCCTTCCTCAGCCATGTGGCCATGTGCGAGCTGCTTCCTCACGTGAAGCCAAAGTGATTCATGTCACAATAGTGCTCATATAATACTGACCTTAAAACTGTTTTACACAGATGTGTTGCACCAAAAAACCACACAGCTGTCTATAAGTAGCTCTCCTATTTACACTCAGTTGACATCTCTTCCATGTAGAAATTCAGCATGACTGGCAATAAATTCTGAAGCAGAAAACAAACTACTGCCACTGTGCAGCCGTCGAATGTCGCTCTGCGAAGATGTGAAACTCCCAATGCTGCCACATAAACATACAAATCCTGTGTGCCGTGTTCACCTGACAGCAGCGGTTAAATAACAGTGGTGGATTCGAATGCCAACGCTGTGTGTGGAAGTTCAACTTCTTGTGTAACTGTTTATCACTTATTCAAACGTGTTCTCATCTAAGTCTTCACCCAGTCACAGGGACGTGCAAAGTAAAGCACAGCGACAAGAGATTCATAAAAGGACGGTTCATTTGGGCAGTTTAAAAATAGTGGCACTTTTACAACTAGGACAATGGGATTTACATACAAAAAGTGTTTTGTCTGAACTATTTGCCATTTTAAAGGAGTCTGCTGCCCGAGTTCAGGAAAACATTAATTTACTGGCAGATAGAAAAGCAGAAACCAGAAACCAGCAAGTTTTTCAGTCCAAAACCTCAAGCCTACGTAGCCCCATATAATAAATTATTGATAATAACACAAATATTTGATGCACTGATCCCTGGATGGCCTCCTCCTTCTCCCTCAGGAAACAGCGGCTGTATTAATAATCTTTTGTTCTTCAGCCTCAAAGGGCCCCACCACCTGCAATCATGGAGAAGAGAAAGAACCACAGACAGTGTAAACAAAACCTCCGACGACACGCAAACACAACAATGCATCGCAAGCCGCCCGGAGGGCAGGAAGTTTGGATGTAATCGTCGCCCCTTATCATTGAGGACGCTGTGGCGCAGTGTGGAGCAATTCCAAGGCATTTAAATTGAATTGCCTTTCAACAAACAAAATGAGTGAAGAAACAAGCCGTCGCCGCGGTGCCGAGTTTAATAAGTTGACAGCTGAGGGGGAAGAAGCTGTTTCTGAGCCTGCTGGTCCTGCAGAGACAGATTCCTGTGGAGATCACATCTTCACCTCATAATGTTTATATGGCAACCGTGTTAGCACGCAGCAGATGTACGGACCAACGCTTTGGAGAAACGTTTGCGGTAACCTGAGGATTTTAAGTCCAATACTGAGTCTCCTTTGGTGCATTTTAGCTGGTAATAATAATGTAGGGATTCATCGTAAGTGATACCTTTCTGGGAAAAAGAACATCTGAGGAGCCGGTGGTCTTTGCAACCAGCAGGCCACAGGGCCGGCCTTTGACCCCCCATAGTGCCCGTCTGCTGCCTCCACCAGCGAACTCCAGAACAATGGTTGCCTACAGGTATATATACCGATCTGTAAAGGTGTGAAAGTTAGTGTCCACACCTCTGGGAGTGGTCTTCTGATGAGTTCAATGTAACTCGGATTTCGAATGACCCTCAGTCAATATCAGATGTTGTGCAAGTATTACATGCATTCCAGTTGATTACATTACATTAAATACAATCATAACTGTACTTAGATATTATTCTATTGATTACAGTTTCAATATTACAGTGGTTTTACAATATTGTCATTACTTTATTGATTACACAGTTTCAGAATCATGGCTGTATTCTGGTGCCTTCTTTTGCACACGGCTCTGTTGTCTGTTCTGAATGTTAGATGTAGCCACGCCCCCTGATTTGCATATAAGAACGTGAAATGTAAAACGGCATTGTGAAATAAGTCTCTGGAAAGGAAAAACGGCATTATGAAATAAAAGACTCTGGAAATGAAAAGTGGCATTGTGAAATAAAAGACTCTGGGAATGAAAAGTGGCATTATGAAATAAAAGTACCATGAAATAATTAAATGTATTTAATATTTATGTATTTATTGCCTCATTTATTTATTTCATGATGTATTTCAAATACATATTTCATGTATTTACGTATTTATTCATTTATTTAATTTTTACTAAAAGGGCATTCCATAGGGCCACATAAAAGCCTCTTATGAAAGAGTCATCCTGACCTCCATTCTGTCACATCCACACAGTTACATTATGTAACCAACAAAGAGACACCAACACAGCGATGGAAAAAAAAGGGGGGGAACAAATCAAATCATATCATCTTCCTTTACAGACGGACGGACAGAAACAGCAAAGGGAGCTTTAACAACAAAGCGCGTCTCACTAACAATAAAGGAAACCGCACGCGTATCCGGCGTCAAATCAGAAAGATACCAAAAAACACTACCGTAAATCCCAGACTTTGATCACGTGATCGCAAACTTGGCCAAATGGGAAGGCGGCGTCTCTGTGGTGCGCTTCCGACCGCCATTACGTTACAATGCGCGGTGGGCTGGACGATCGTGCGCGGAAAAAAAAAGAAAAAAAGAGAAAAGAGAAAAGAGCTGCTCAGGCGCACACGGACACGCAGGGTGAGGATGACACACTCGGGTTACACGCACACTTATTTGCCACCACCACCACCACCACAACAACAAGGCGCCCGCGTGAGATAAACAACGGGGCACGGAGGAAGACGCAAACAAACCCCCCCTAAAAAAAAAAAAATCCGCGCACATGTCGGAGGATTTAATTCAATCATCGCATCGCTTCTCGGGAGAAGGAGGGAGGATTCGCTGTTAAATGTGGCGGAGGTCGCTACACAGATCTGCGGTCTTTACGTCAGTGGTCGGCGCCCGGCGGGGAACTGTCACTTAAATTGTGCGTCCACCACCCAAAAAAAAAAAAAGACCGAAAAGGAGGATTTTTCATTTTTGTTTTGTTTTGTTTGTGCAAGACGCTGCGGGCTGTCGTGGCCGCGAGAGGACGTTTCGTAATGATATAAAACTGAAAGGAAGGAAGGATTTTTTTTTTCTTCTTCTTCAAAGCTCTTGTCTACCGAAGCGTTTTTGTCGTTTTCCAGGCGGCGGAGTGTAAGAATAGTTTTTTTTCTCTCTCTCTCTCTCTCTCGCGCTCTTCTTCGTGTGAACGCCTTGACTCATGACTCGAGGTAACCGGGAGCCCCGGTCGACTTTGTCCGCCCTGCCGCGGAGGATCACCGGGGGCTTTTTTCCCCTCTCCGCCCGCGACCCGAGGCTCTTCTGACTGAACGGCAACAAGAGGGATCCGAGCATTCCAGCTCGCGCGAGGCGGACAGGGTTACATTGTGCGAGGAGCCGCTGTGGTAAGAGAACGGGGCTATAAATAGCCCGTGCAATTCTCCAAAACTATCACAAGTGGTGCATCAGCTCGCGGAGCGAGACGGAATCCGATATCCTGCGCGCAGACGCCTCGGCTTTCAAGTTTTCCGGATCGTTTTTTTTTTGCACAGTAGCGAAAACGTGCGATTTTTCTTTTTTTTTTTTTAAAAGAAGAAAAATCTAAAGTTTTGACTTCCAATTTCTCTTTTTTTTTGGACGGGGTTGGAGGGAGGGGGGTAATGTGGGAGGGGAGAGAATGAGTCGTTTCCTCATGGATTATGGTCATTATTTAACGAGGAAACAATCAGCGGACAGACTGGTGTGGAAACCCGCCGATGCGCCCCCGTGCGCGGATTGAGATGGATACATTTCTGCGCTCCGCGCCTTTGACAATGATCACGCTGGGAATCGCCTGACCTGGTTTGTAGCAATGTTTTGATCACCCGCACACGCTTGGATTTACATTACAAACGGTATATCCGGGAGGGGGGGGGGCCGGTGGAAGGGGTGGGGGATCTTTGTGGAAGCATCCTGCACTTCTTTTTTTTAATTATTGATGTATATATACGTATATAGATCTGTGTGTATATATAGATCTATATACACGGGCGCATTCCCTCGGCCCCGACCATCGCGAGTCTTACTATCTGGACCCTCTTGTGAGGTTGTACGCCTGCTTGTTTTTGGCAGACTCGCACGGGATCCTATTTGTCAGCCCTGCTCGGTGTCGACGCCGACGTAGGATTTCGACATGCCCAGCGCTGACGACCCCAACGGCGGACGATTATGACTACGGCAGCGAATTGGGTGGCTAACGGGGCAAGCCTTGAGGACTGCCACTCCAACATCTTCTCTCTGGTACGGTATGCGAGCCTCCCCGGGAGGAAAATAAATAAATAAAATGAATGCATTTAAGCACGCTGCTCACAGACACGCATGCCGGTTGTTGTGATTGACAGGTCACGGGAGCTGCGGGAGGCACGCGTAAAGTGTGCGTCCCGCGGTGCAAAAGGTGAAACCAAATAGCACGCTGCTGCGACGAGGTGAACGCGGGTTAAATGCACCGCGTCTCACCTCCCTGAACATGTTTATTTTTATTTTTACAATGAGATATCTCAGTGTTATCGGATTCAAAGCCGTGTCCTGGTGCTTTTCAAGTACAACGTTGAGACGCCACCAAAACAAAGTGACCCTTCTGTTTTTGGCAAGGGTCGAGCTGATAAACATTAGACTGAACACTCATTTCTTTCCATGTAGAGCACACGGCGTGCTCCGGCTCTTATCCTTTCAAATGATCACGTGCCTGTAAATGTAGCTGAAACTCTGTTTCATTGCCAGGCAACTTACTTGGAAAGGAGAAGAACTGCTGCCTCTCGCCAATATTTCTAAAGCCAGAGAATAAAAAGAAGAAGAAGAAGAAGAACACTGTTAATGGTTTAACGCGCCGATCTACAAAAACATCTCACCGGGGCTTTAATGGGAAGATTAGGGATAATTTGGTGCTAATTTGAACCGGGTAGCTCACAAAGGCAACATTTCCAAAAAAAACCAAATTGATGCGATAATAGCGTCTTCCCGCAGAAGAGAAAGGTTAATGCGATTTTGACAGGCAGCGGCATGTATCGAGCACCGAGCGGAAACGACACCTTCGCACTTTTATCTGAAAAAAGGAGGCTTTTTTTTGTTGTTGTTGTTGGACTCCGCAGGCGGCGTGATTCTTGCGGTTGTCGCTGGTTTTTGAGGGCGTTTTTCACAGTTTTCATCCTGCGATCAGCGAGTTAACCGTCCCACTACAGCAGGCAGCCGAGTGGAAAGGCATGCGGCCGACGTGCACGGGCTGCTCCGGACCACAGCAACGCCGGGGTCCTGAGGGCCTTTTTCGGTGGATCGTGCAGGTCGTCCACCAGCTACAGCGGCCGGGCCCTGTTGCACTGCGCGGGTTGCGCCCCAAAGCTAGAGGAACCGAGGCCCGTTTGTCAATTTCTGTGCACTGTGGACGAATTCCTGCACGTGTAACACCCGTAGCCATATATGGCTTCCGATTCCGTCCCTGTCAACGTCTAAGTCGAGGTTATTCCCTGGCGGGAGGAAGCTTTCATTCACTCGCCGTGGCATTGTTGGCCGCCGCGCCGGCCACCGGTGAACGTCCCTTTCAAACGGAGGGAGAAAGCGAGCATCCATCAGCCGGCTTGTTGAGAATATTTATGACTGGCTGGTGCCACGGCGTTGGCTCACTGGCAGCGTAGTCCAAGAGAGAACAAAACACTAATGACACACCAAGTGCCCTGGTTAGAGGACATGACTGAAAAACAAAGAGACGGAGGACAGACACACACACGCAGACACACACACAGAGGGATGCAGATCTACGGCTTGATGTTGAAAATGAGACATTTTGTCAGCATGAAGAGCCCTAAGAAGTGGAGGCTAAAAAGCTGTTATTCTCACTGGAGTCGGGTGATGAGACCTTGAGAAGTAGGTGTTTGATGTGAAAAATTGCTCAGTTAAGGTTTTCTTTTGCATGCGTTTGGCCACCCTATCGTTGGGTTTAGCGTGCAATTAACACATTTGCTAATGAATGAATAAATTTGAGATTTTTAGTTGGAAGGGTGAATGAAAACCAGTCGCTGCTTTTCTCTGTAATCAAAATGGAAAATCTTTTGGGGTTTTGCCCTTTTTTGATTCAGCAAGTTAATGATGTCATCTTTGTTTCCAGACGTGGAACAACATATGGAATCAATCTTTTAAAAAAAAGGAAAAGATAACGCTAACACACCTCAGTTTTAAGCATGACCTGGACATCGAGAGTGCAAAGAATACACCCTCTGATGTGAGGTATTTCCTTACCGTTTCCTACAGGGCTTGTTGCATGTCTTCCTACACAAAGGCCTCGCGGATAACCGTTGAGCGCTCACATCTGACAGCCTGTTAAACTGCATTCCAACATGCGCTACCCCCCCCCCCCCCCACACACACACACACGTTTACTGTCTGTTATTTGAACCCGCATCAATGGAAATTCCCTTTTTTAGAACACAAGTGCCCATATTGGGGAACTTTATGGAGAGCCGGCAGGTTACTTGTCATGTGCTCCGTGAGACCGGCGTCACATACTTGGGGTCACAAAACGACCTGAGTCGCTGGGGATCGTCCCGTCGGCGACAGAAAGCAAGCGAGACACTTGTGAGTGGGAGAAAAGATCCCGGCGTGCGTTGGAAGTTGGAAGCTGCGAACGGAGGAGGGACGGGAGGAGAATCGGAGGAATGTTTTTTTTTTTCGCCGGCCGAAGGAGCGAGTGAGACGGCAGCCAAATCTGTTTTTCATTTTAGGAAAGTGTTATGACTGATGTGCATTTCCTGAATTCTAGCCACAGCCTATTTAAGCGAGAAACGGTGAGAGCGAGACTGAGAGAAAATTAAAGAGGGAGAGAGAAATGTAACGAGAGAGAGAAATGGGGGAGGGAGGAAAAGAAAACCGTCATCTCTTCTGTGGAATGGGCCACTTCTCATGGCACCCGTCCCAGCTTGAATATGAAATGCAAGGAGACAGTTGAGAGCCTCACGAGTGTGTGCGTGAGTGAGTGAGTGAGTGCGTGCGTGTGTGTGTGTGTGTGTGTCTGTGAACCATCTAGACTCGGGAGACAAACTTCAAACACCCATCGCATTATGCGCACACAGACAAATACACACATGGATACGTTTCCCAACACTGAGTGAGGGGAGAAAAAACCAAACAGAAACCAAACACCCACATGCACACACACAAACATATGTTTTGCAAATGCAACACGCGTGCACGCGCTAAATCCTCCGCCCACGCTTGTTTTATTTGGGCTACATTCCAAGGACGTGGTCTGTAAAGATAAAAACAGGTAGGATGCAGCACCCTCGATTTAAAGGGCACCCCGAGTCCCCTCATCGCTGATAAAGTGTCCCCAAGTGGAGGTCTAATGCGATCGGCTAAGAGGCGCTCATTAGCCAAACTGTGCTCCAATAGGGATCTTTTATATGTGCAGCAATGATGCCGCTGTCTGTTATGGGAATGGAAGAGCTGAGGCGGCGCGAATAGCAATAAAAGAAGCGGCTTTTGATTTACGGCAGGTGAGCGGCGGTGCCTCGTTAATAGAAGCAGGTAATCAGGGCCGTCTGTTTTTTTTTTTTAATTTTTTTTTTTAATACGGGCTGTTTGCATGTCCCGCTAGTTAAAGGTGGGGGTGGGCGTCGCAGGACTGCTTAAGGATGAGAAAGGGGCGGGGGGCTCACGATCCCGACGGCTAGCCGCTGGCTTCACCTTGAGGTGATGTTTTTGTGCCATAACCGGACAATCTGGTGATCTGGTAATCTCTCTTTTTTTTTTTTTTTTTTTTTTCTTCTATTAAATTGTCCTGGGTCTTATCCAGTAAGCTGCCGAGGTGAAGAGCAGGCAGGGAGGGGAACCACCGCTGGTCCCGGAGGCGGAAGTCAGGGGTCGGGGATGGGCAGCAGCGTTTTCGGAGCGCGGTGGCTCGAGTGTGAAGTATGTAGGCCCTGCAGCGCCAGCTGTGATCTATTCTTAGCGCCCGCTGGTGTTCCTGCATGTGTGCAGAGCGACAGAAGGCTGAGTGGGCGACGAGGGTTTGGTAGGAATGGGCCGCGGGCCGGTGCCGCCAAGTGCTTGTGATCGCTGGAAAGTCGGCTATTTGGCCGGCGTGTTGAGATTCGCAGATTCCAAACGCATCTCGGTCGCGGTGTTGACGCTTCTGTGTTTTGCAAAACAATGTCATGCTGAATTTCTGTGGGCGGGTGAAGTAGATCCTAAAAAAAGTCTAAGCAACAGCACCACACGGTATAAATACGAAAAATGTGTACTTTGACGGATGTTTCAGAATTGTCCCTTCACGCATGACGACAGTGCTTTAACCTGTGAGCTGCATCGTAGGACTGTGGAGTTGTGTACTTGTTGGGTGGCGATCATGCATGTGTTCTGTGCTGCATAGGAAACCCATCTTAAAATGAACCCGTAGTTCGTTATTGTGCAGCGAACTTGTCTCAGGAGCATTTGAGTAATCAGAATCGAGCGATTGTATCTCTTTTGATGAAAAGATACACGCGACACTGAAAATGAATTAACTCGATAAATGTGATTCTCTGGACTGGAAGCGACTGATATGATTTCACCAAACTTGCCCCGCTAGTTAAACACAGATTCGTTTGCATGATGGACGTAAAGAAAAGCATCTGGGATTCACCCGCTTCTGAAATCCCCGAGCGAACGTGTCTCCCCGCTGCCGAATGCAGTCGTTTACGTACAAAATGGTTTAGAGGAAAGTGGTGTTATTCCATCGGGAAGAGACGCCAGCATCGATGAGATGAACTGTGCGTCGCTGCAGGAGACGGAACATGTATTCAGCAGTGGTCAAACACATTCACTCCAGTGTCCCAGTAGCGGTCCGTGCATCATCCCTTCACCTGGCGAAAGAGAATCTCTTCTTTCAGGGTCGATACCGAACCTGCTTGTAAATATTTTCATGCAAGCCAAACGGCTTCACCAATAACATGGCTGGCTGGAATTCCATTGCAGTTAAAGCCCACTTAGGTTAAAGGGAGTTTAAAAAATATATATATTTTTTTTAGTGCTGCATAACAAGGGAGAGAGAAAACATTAATGTTGGCTGCTGGGCTGTTGCAAATTCTAATTATCATGTGTTCGTGTTCCAGTGAGAGATTATCTGCGACCAATCAGACCGGCACTTGACGAGAACAAACACACTGTGTGTAGTCTGTTGATTTGTTTGTGGCGCGTTGATCCCCCCCCCCCTCTCTCTCTCTCTCTCTCTCTCTCTCATCTTGAATTAGACGGACACATTAGACGGATTTTTC